TCTCTCTCTCTCTCTCTCTCTCTCTCTCTCTCTCTCTCTCTCTCTCACACACACACACACACACACACACACATACACACACACACACACACACATTCCCACACACCCATGTTCTCTCTCTCGCAAAGAAATGGATCTCCTGTTATATAATCTCCATGTGCTCCAAATGGAACTCTCTTTCTTCGCCCCGCCCTTCCCTTCCTGGCATCCACCACTCTTTCTTTCTTTGTGCCTAACTATCTATCGCTCTATTTATGTTCTGGCAACCTCCCAATGATCATTTTTCCAGTACCCACCTGCAGCAGGGTCATAAGGGAAAGAAGTGAACGGAAAACAAAAAAATGCTTTCCCTCCTCAGAAGAATACGGTGGGCAAGGAAGGTAAAAGACTCCCCCCTTGCCTCCAGAGAAGCACTAACTGCCTATCTCAAGCTAGGCTACGCTAAGGAAACATAAAAGCTATAATATAATAACCATTCACCCCACCCTATCTATATAAGAGGGGGACATATAGAATGTAAGCAAGAAAACAAATGGGTCAAAATTGCTGATGATTAGTAATGACTCCGTAGTACCACAAAAAGCTACACAAACAAACGTCCCTAACATGGAGGTTTCCTTCAATCCACCCTTTCCCTTCTCAACCTTCGTCTCCGCGTGCATCGACTTAATGATTGACACATTCTCAACTTTCTCATTCGCCAGATTTGCATAACTGCCATCCTACTGATCACCACAGCACGAAAACTGGCATGTAAGTGTTTCTCGAACTTTCTCCCCTACAACACTCCCAAAACAAATTGGCTCTCTGAAAACGGAAAACACAAAGCTTGCAGAAAGGAGACGGAAATGATTGGAAGTAAAGGCAAACTTCCAAACAAACAATGCCACGTGCTCACATGGCAAAATGTCACTCTAATGCAACACTAATACTCGTATATAATACAGCTCAAATCACATCTTATCCGTGTCGACTCGGACATTCTCAAAAAACTCAAACCTCTCAAGAAAAGCCCACCGGTAGAAATATATGACCAATTCACATGTGTGTATTTTCACTGCCATTTTCCCACTGCTGAAGCCTATCTTGATACAAGCCAAATCTCGAGTACACCTTTGCTGAAGTCATGTAGAGCTTCCATCTCCCTCCTCCTCACCCATCACCCCGCACCCCCCAGTGGAGGGGTCTAGCTGTACCTCTTCCTCTCATGCATTTGCAAGGAACTCACCACATCCAGACGTGCAAGCGATGAGGCTACTGGAGTGCGTGCATGCAGAATATCACATCTTGCACACATCCAACTGAAGACTGAGCAGGTGAAACCAGCGTATGGTCAAGTCTTTGCGTGGGCAACTCTATAACACCCCCACCTCTGTAAGGCGCAATAGCCACCCCACCAACTTAGAGAAACCATGACAGTAAAACCAGAACACCACAGGATGCATGCTCAGTTCACCTGATTTCATCAGCTTGAGCTTTCACCTACGTTTCACCTTCACTCGACCTCAGGTAAACTATACCTGAACTTCTGGAAACAACCTACCACTTGTTCAAAGGAACGACTGATCAGTGCAGACTAATAATGTCTCTGATGCGGTTCCAAACTAACCACCCATAAAACCGTCTTATAACCAGAGACCCAGAGTACAGGCTACATACTGTCCACAGGCAGCAAATTACCCATCCACTACCCATATCAGCAGGATAGGAAAGGAAAGCCGGCTGTCACATAAGAGCTCATTCAGGCAAACTGCCCTGAGGAGAAAAACTGATACATGTGCAGGCCTGCAGAATAAGTCTGACATGCCACCACTACTTAACACAAACTGGTGCATTAGCTAATCGGCCCACACTATGGCCACTACCCAAGAACAGTCCAGCGCTCCAACGTGGACGTGGAAGTGCAACTACCACCCGATGATAACCAAGTGTCAGAGTTGGACCTCGTGTGGCACCACACTCCCAACTCCTTTATGGAGCACATTCCTGACTTCCTTCTTGGGCCATAGATGGGCATTTCCATGATGTGTGTTGATGGACCAGGATTATCTCGGCTTGGAATTCATAGGAAGAGGAGGTGAGGCGGGGCAGAAGATGAAGGACGAGGTGGAGACGAGGAAGAATGCGGAGGCATGATGGTGGTGAGGCACCTTCCAAGCAGCCTTATGTCGCAGCCTTCTTCTGCATTGGCAACGAGTGGATCATCAACCAGACACTGCCAGATCTGGCAATTGTGCCTGAATCTGCATCCTTGACGATGACAACTCTTAAGCCCGTGTCACCATAATGAATGCCTGATATGCGGCAGGAAGACTGGCAGCCTCTCCAGATGGACAGCCCCTGGTGCGGACAAGCTGGAACTGTATCAGAATTACTAGCGGACTCTGGAAACTAGCTCCACGTGTCTGGACCAGCGGATCAATGCTGTGGTCTCCAGACTAAACCACATCGACAAATATCGTCCCAGATGGACCAACATTGTCGTCCAGTATGGAGGCCAGACAACATCTCCAGGTCAATGCCGCTTGACTGAAACGGCACATGCAGCACAGCCTGTACCAACATAATGATCAGGTGTGGAGGTGAACCAATCTGTCAAATCTGACACACGGTTTGTCCGATCCCATGTGCCAGCATGGTGCTCCATACCTCCAGTCTGCAGTCTCTCCAATTGACAACACAGCAAAACTGCAAGTCATCTGCATTATGGCGGTGACAACCACCTGCCTGCAAATATCACCAATGTCTGATGTCCTCTCCGCAAGAACCTGACATCATGCAGCATAGCCAGCTCGCAGAGAGAGCATCCGGTTGGAACTTGAGGCCAAGTATCCAGACATATGCAATACGCGTATGCATCCAGCATAGTCAGTTCAAGAGAATGGACGGTCATCACCAACCCCACCCGAAACCACCTAGCCATTCAATCATGCAGCTGAATTGTGCAGTGGACTCGTTGCACCAAAAAACCACCGATGGTCGCCACCAAGTGGCGAATGTAGTCTCCAAGATAACAATATAGACCCACTTATTCCATCCATCCCTTGATTGCATGTACAGAAAACACCCCTCCCTATCCGCATACCTCTGCTTGCTCCGGCAACAGTGGAGGTGGCAGAGTTCACAAGACAATGCAGCGAATGAATGGCCCAGCAATTATACAACCACAAAACAGGTTCTGTTACCTGAGGATGAGCATGGCCATGCCTTAGGATGCACATGGGCATTTCCAATTTGTTGCAAGCATGCTACCAACTTGCGCATCACTCTCATATACAGTGCAGTGTCTGCATGCACAGGCTGGCACCAAAACTCTTGTAACACACCCACTGGCCAGTATCCAATGGGAAACCTTTTCACTCATCCTCTCAACACAAATTATCGTACAGCAGGTGAACTCCAGTCATAACAACACCTGACCTCTCTCTCTCTCTCTCTCTCTCTCTCTCTCTCTCTCTCTCTCTCTCTCTCTCTCTCTCTCGTGTGCAACCTAAGCACGTTCCCTGACGAAAGACTCATTCAGAAGTCCAGGAGTAAGGGCCAACGCAATTGCCTGCGGTGGATGGAACCGAAACCTCTCCCTTGGTTAGGGAAATGCCTCCCAGAAGGGAGGTATGCACGCCAGATACAGTCTGCATCGCGGGGTGGCATAGACAGCGTGCAAAGCAGGCTAAGATGATTAGACCCGGGCCTCCACAACAGGGCATGTGGGGGAGGCAAATAGTTACCCAGGGCGATTCAAGCGACGAGATATACCAATAGTAACATAGAATCATCGCACTGGGTCTACTGTCCGCTCCAGGCTAAACACTCTTTACCTATTTCTTTGCCTCTTCTGTAAACGTGAAGCCCCCTCGCTGCAGCTCCCTTACATACAATCTCATTGCCAAAGGCATTCCCTTCCTCTAATCACTACAAACTGGTGCAAAAGCCATAACGAGGGAAAAGCAAAAAGAAGTAACAAATGAACAAACTAAACGTAAAACCACAATAGCGACAGAAAGAGCCCCAGTCAGCGAAGCTGTGTCGGGAGGCAACAAACCTGAAGGAGCAGGGATCGGCAAGTGGACGAGAGGACAAACTGCTATATCCAGAAAGCAGAACTGTACGTGTATCTGCACTAGAAAGCAGTGAAATGTCATCATGGCAGCAGATGAAATCCCAAGTCTTCTCTTTCAGTTCATACTCATGCCAGGACTACAGTGAATGAATTCTACCAAAAAGATGAGACCGGCTACGTTCATGACAGTCCTGGCTGAGGCCGGCTACATTCACAACGGTCCTGGTTTGACTATACAACCTTGGGTGCACCTGTGTTGATGTTGGGAATTCTGCACCAGGGTCAGCTTGGGACTTGGGGTTGTGCCACGGAGTTATGAACAAGCATGTCCAGCATGAATAAGGTCAGAATGCTGACCAGGTTCGCGTTATATCCACCACAATCACTGCCTCATGTAGCAAGACCCCTGGATTTTCAAACACCTTCCAACCTTGGCTTCAGTGCATTGCTTAAAATCTGGCTGTGCAAATCCACATTAAAACACAGGATAGTAACCCATGTGTGCAAGTGGTCACACTGATGCATGGCTTGTAAGTCGCAACTGCCAACGAGGCATAGCTGTGGCACTAGTGCTGAATCCTTCGGCAAGTTTTAAGCTGCTTCTACACAACAGCATAACCTTCTTAACATAGCAAGATTTAGAAGACTCTTCTTAGCTCCAATGCTGACGAAGCTGTCTATGATTCAGAGATCGAATGGTCAAATCTCTCTCTCTCTCTCTCTCTCTCTCTCTCTCTCTCGTCAGCCTATGAATCCTGCTAGAATAGGCTAGCCAAGGATAAGTCCGACTGCTGAGTGGCTCCTGCTCAATGGAGCTGCCCCTACAAAATCCACTGAGAAAAGGTGCCAGATCACACTTCCGGCTCATGGGAATTTACCCCTACACAATCCCCTCAGCAAACCTGCAACACCTGTCTGTCCTCTCTCTCTCTCTCTCTCTCTCTCTCTCTCTCACACACACACACACACACACACACACACACACACACACACAGAGAGAAAGCTCCCTTCCTCCTAACGGGCAATCTATTAAACCATGCTCAGGCCCTTAACAAAATAATCCTGGGAAAAACAAACCTGCCAATATAGGAACTTCTTTGGAGAAGGATGAAGTCCCAGGCAGATCGCATGCATGGAAAATAAACAAATGCATCCCTTGAAAGGTATGCTCTGTCGCAGAAAAGGTCTGAAAAACACCACCTTGTGTTTCCTAGAAGAAGGACATGCCTCAATGCTGCACTCTCAAGGACACTTGCACCTACGCACTCTTTTTCAGAAGAATTAGAATCGCCAATAACTCACAGCTTCTTGGCCAGAAACTGCTGATGCTTACAGTCAATCAAACCCAAGTGAGCATGCTGTCAACTAGCACTGTGCTGTACAAAGTGATGACTCACTGTCACGCCCCCCCCAAAGAGAGAACAATGGGTCGTACTCTGTCCCACCCAGCATGTTACCTTCAGGAAAAATGCTGCCAAGGTTCCCATACTGGCAATGGATCCCGTCTCTATTGTTTGGCATGATGCTGCTTAGGTCACCTAGCCCCTCAGTCAAGCTCACAGGTTGATAGTAGCCAGAAGACTCTGCATGAAAGCTCATCAACTTGGTAGAGAGATCCTGACACAGCCAGGCATAGCTCTTGTTCGCCTCGCTGGTTTCCACAGTACCAGGAAGGAGACCAGTGCCAAACCAGGGATCAAAATCTGTTGACGCTGCACTCAGGTACCTGCAATCACATGGGTTACCAAAGGAAGGGAAGCGGCCAAAATAACCAACACATAAACAAAAATTCAATTCACAAAACAGTGAAAACACATGTCAAGTACTGGCACAAACAAATACGAACTCTCAGCTCTCCCCTACCCCACAAAATACCGAGAAAGAACATGCCACAAAGAAAAAGAAAAAGAAAAAGAAAAAGAAAAAGAAAAAGAAAAAGTTAGCAGAACCAAGGCCATATGAAGGGACAAATAACTGGGAAAGAAGCCTCGAGAAGGTGCAAAGCCCTGAGCTTCACTATCTCTCTTTAGCAACGCAGGCAAAGAGGGATCAACTGAAGCTTTTTTCCCCCTTTCATTTGAGTCGAACAAGAGTTATACTCAACAGGGTCTTCTCTCACCAATTTGTCGGTTTCAACGATACGAGATAGACACACTGGGAATCTGGCTGATCCATTCATGCAGCAATATGAAGAATACTAGCACCTGCAATTATAAAACGGAGCAAGCAAGGAAGACTAAAAAAGTGATTGTTAACCTAAACCATCTCATTGCTGATATGGCTCAGCTTGCGAACCATTCGTGAGACTTCCGCCTCATATGGCTCTTCTCAGAATCTATATTTATATTTGCGTCCTCTGTTTTATGGTATGGATATAGGTCATACGGTGCCAACTGGAATCAACATATTTAGCTGGATCGCAACTATCTGTCACTACTAATTAGAAGACAACACCAAGCTTGACGAAGCCAAAATTCACGTAACAATCTACAATTGACCTAGGGAGTTGCTTTGGCCGCTCAAACAGGAAGTAGGATGAGAGTTGAATTCGAATACACAATGGCAAAAAATAACAGTGCACATGCTATGTGTGTGTGTGTGTGTGTGTGTGTGTGTGTGAGAGAGAGAGAGAGAGAGAGAGAGAGAGAGAGAGAGAGAGAGAGAGAGAGAGAGATCTTTTGGGTTGAATCAGACCACTGTGCACATTAGTTGTCAAACTGGTTATGATGCACACTAGTTGTCAAACAGGTTATGATTAGAGAAGTTCAGGCACTGCAGAGAAACGAAATGAAATTAAGCATGCACTGCTGAGGTAGAAGATCCAGGAAAGAGATTCTTAGGTGGGAAACTGGAAAGGATGTCGATACCATTCTCATAATTCAAAGTTCATGCATGCACAACTGGCAACAATCTACCATCACCCGTGTTCAACCTTAGCTTGTCTTTGTTACAGAAGGAAACGGATTCTCTGACGCTCATTAAAAAAAAGGTCCTTTGCTTCATTACTCAAGAACGCCCCCTCCCTCTAGCCCCCCCTAGTTCTTTCTTCCTCTCCCCTGCTTTCCTCTCTTATTTTTCAACAATGACCTCATCTACACAACTCCAGGACGCACTGCCACCTCTCTCTCTCTCTCTCTCTCTCTCTCTCTCACACACACACACACACACACACACACACACACACACACACAGAATGAAGCACACCCCACTGTGTACATTCGTAGTCAAACTGGTTGCACTGCATAAAGATTCAGAGAAGTTCAGGTACAAAAAAAGAAAGAAAGCATGCACTGTGGAGCCAGAAAGTCCTAGGAAAGAGGTGCTGGGGAAAGAGACCTGTGAAGGCTGAAGATACGATTCTCACAATTGAAAGTTCATGCATGTACGATTAGGAAGAAAATACCCTTCCCCGTGTTCAAGCTTGGCCCTGAGATAGGCTGCTTTCCACCTTGCACACCTTGCAGCCCGCGAGGTTATCGTATTGCTGTTATCTTCTTTCTTCACGACCAAGGATGTTTGGGGTGTGCGCATATGTTTTCAAGAGTGAGAGAGGGAGTGAGACAGAAAGACAGAGACTGGAGGGATGTTTGGGGTGTGTGCATATGTTTTCAAGCGTGAGAGAGGGAGTGAGACAGAAAGACAGACTGGAGGGATTGCACAGAGAGAGAGAGAGAGAGAGAGAGAGAGAGAGAGAGAGAGAGAGAGAGAGAGAGAGAGAGAGAGGAGGGGCAGAGAGTGAGAGAAAACATGGGAAAAGGGGATGGAGCCTGCAATAAAACGGAGGAAGGGAGAAGGCAAGAGAAGGACACATACCTTTGATACATTTCTTTGGTCAGTGTCGTGGCTGTCTTTGGAACCAGATCAACACCAGTGAGATCGTCGAGAGGATCATCCTGTATGGTCTCCTTTTGTGAGCAACCTTTGCCTATTACTGGTGAGAGGGGCTGCTCCATTTTTCTGCAATTACTGTAGTCCCACTCGGGACTCCTCATCTGACTGCCACTGCAGCGCGAGTCCAACCAAATATCCCAACCAATGAAACGACCAACTCAGAAACCTCAACAGACATGGCGATCCAGGAGATGAACTAGACTGTCTACACATGCATACAAACACAGTGCGAGCAGCGAGTATGCGATCAGAAAGAAGAGTGACAGGCCCCACTCATCTTGAATCACCATACAGACTCCAGCAGTCACATCGAGTGAACATTCGGCCTTTCTCCTGGCCACAGCGATTCAGGAGATGAACTAGACTGTCTACACATGCATACAAACACAGTGCGAGCAGCGAGTATGCGATCAGAGAACGCAGTATGATGAAGTCGTATGTTGTGTCAAGCTTTTTCATTAAGTTATTGATTGATTTTCTGATTACTTAAACAATCAAGAAGTTGCCACGGTGACTTACTTCACGGGCGAGGACTCTGGTTCAAATCCAGGATAGCCCATTTATTCTTGGATTTGACGCACTATTTGCCGCGAATAGGATTGCTGCGTCAGTGCGAGAAAAAGCTCGCACGCATCCTTTAAGATTAGCTGGTTTGGTAGGTAATAGAACTTAATTCGTTCAAGAAGTACTAAAAAAGGCGCTAGTGGCAAAGGTACGCCTTGAGGTAATAAAAAACTCAAAAAATGAAGTCCTTGAGTTTGAAATCCCACTATAGTAAGCCCAATAAAACGAGAGAATGAAACACCAAAGGTGACCACAAAATGACTTGTCACTGTAAAACTATCACGGAAAAAGGAATCACGCCAATAAGATTACAAAATAACAAAAAAGTAAAAGTGACAAAGATGAAAGGGAAAAATTGTTGTTTAACTGCTGGTACACCACTTTTCTCTTTTTGTTTGCATAGGTCTCATGAATATACCAATAATGAAATTCTCTGTAAATTGGTGGAACACTTTGCATCAACCTTCTAGTATTAGCCCATTTGGTACATCAATACATCTTTCTATGTTGTTACCCATCTTTCTGATGTTTAGTCAGAAATCACACGTTTCTCTGAATCATCGTATCGTACTTCCACATATCCACTTAAGGTAAAGTCTTTTCGTAATGGATGACCATCAAAACCATAATCTGTTAATATACAATGTGAATCAGGATGTATTCCGACATAGAACGAGAAACAACAGGATTTTTTGTAAAATACAAAAAAAAGAAATAAAAAGAAAAAAAATGATAGAAGAATACTTATACATATAGCCAAATTCTCTACTTTATTTTCCCATTACTGGACGATTGCCCCGATTTGAGGTCCCAAAGACCTATGATGGTAATAAATATGGTTAACCCGATTAACACAACAAAGCATAATGGTACAAATCTCACAAAATAACACTCGTATATATTGCGAAGGTATTGGCCAATAACTAGGTTTATAAGCTTTTAGTTTTTGAAAAGTAACACGGATATAAAAAAAAAGATTCATAGATTTTACGAGTAGTTTTCGAACATTTTTTTAAGTAATATACTCAAAAGAATCGACATAATACACCTAACCATTGCCCATCAAACTGTTCAAGATGTCGTACATCACACGACTTTACCTTCAATTGGAGGCCAAATAACTCGTGGAGTTTCATATGATGCAACTTTTCACGTATTATTCCTACAAAAACCATCATTTTTGCAACACATCCACTCATAGTTGGGAGAGCTAAAGAAGCTAATGAGAATCTTGTAAACATAGAAAACATTTTTGGCAATTTTAATGCAGTTCGAACAGTTTCATGATCGGTGCATGCAACACCAATCTTTTCCTTCTTTTGTACCTTCTGCTTTTACGACGCGATATTTGGGTATCTGGGAAGAAGTATCCGGAATCAATATGTGATATTTTAATTTCTTTGTTTAGCGCTAGTTCGAGCGTACTTAGAAAGGTTGATTGCGTCTACTTTCAATTCGAATTTGCTGGATCGATCGATGTTGAGGCTTTTTTTTACGTACGTATTGTATGGTTGGTCTTGTGAAGTTCAAACTCTTACAGTGGGTAGAACGCAAAGTAAGATAAGCAATTGATTACATAATCGAGCAAAGAAGGAAAGAAAACTTATGCTCCGTGAGATTTCAGTAAGCTAGAGCAATCAATGAATTCAATCCTATCGGGCCATCATCAATTCATAGCTCATCACCATCTTGACTCTGAGCTAATTACGACCATTGAACAAACTTGGTGGACAAACACAATTTATGTGAAGCTTAAGTGGCAGCTGCTTAAGCATCTGACAAAATAACACCATCCATTTCAAAAATAATTTGTCCTTGGGAGACACAAGTCTTGAATGAGCCATTTTTTTTAGGGAGTAATAAGTAAGTCGACTTAGAAGTTCGTGAGTCTCTCATCGATTAAGAATTTTCTGGAGACAAAGTACCAGTTGTTTCAGGATCTGCTCTAATGGCTCTAACCGAAATATTTTGAGAGGCGAAAATAAGAGGGTAAATAAAATGTATGAGTTAATGGATGCAGTTCACTCTTATATTCCTACCCCTAAAAAAGACGTTGGAAAACCTTTTCTGATGCCAATTAAAAACATGTTTTCAATTCAAGGTCGTAGTACAGTCGCCACGGGCGGAATAGAACGTGGTATCTTAAAATTAGGAGATATTGTTGAATTAATTTCAAAACATGAGCCGCTTTCGTTATTCAGTAACAAAACTGAAGAGTGATACGCCCCACCTATTGTTATGTACCCGATTGAACTTCAATCCACAATGAATTCGCGTGTTCCCATACACGCATGCAATTGCAAAGCAGACTCGAAGGAGGCAAATCCACACAAAACCGGGGAGTAAATATGTACAACGGAAGCTCGAAATACACAAAGAATTGAAAAACAAATTTCAATTTTGTAATCCCCCGTCTTCCTCCAATCAATCCAAAGTACTTGTTCCAAGAATCACAACCGCGTTTACAACAACCCAGAACAACAAAAAACAAGTGTTCAACGAAGTCTGCAGGAGTCTTCTTCTTCCTCCTCGCCTCCTCACCCTGGCTATGGCCGCCATAGCAGCAGTAACCCCACAGTTGTCACAACGTGCCAATCTGAACCAGCAACCCCAATGACAACAGCGCCAGCTCAGCACCTGCACGAAAGTGCAGTGCTGGAAGTCCTGATGAAGAAGGAGACAACCAATCCAGCACTTCGAAGAAGAGAAAAAAAACGAAGTTCCTCATGAGGAGGAACAACACATATGGCTGCCAAATGGAGAATGGCAGCGCCCAAACGCAACGGCACAATCCTGTGGAAGCTCTTGTGCAGAGCTACTAGATAGCAGTAGTGCGATCTTCAACTTCGTTTCCCAGTCCCAGCTATGGCTGGTCTCGAGGAAGAAGATGCCCTTGCCCAAAATATCGCAGCAGTGCTCCAACCACGAAAGGGCAAAGTTTCCCCAACAAAAACCGCGAGAAAGATCTGCACCAAATTTCCTGCCCGCAACTTCTACTACCCTTTGCCTAGACCTACGACAGACTTCGAAGGCAACAACCCAAAACTCATCTGTACCTAGATGGAAACAGGGGAAAAGGGGACCTAAACCTATGACAAGGCAGAAGGAAAAGGCCGAATGGCCTAGGACTACCAAACAGAGACTGCAGTAACAGACTCAAGGATCACATCCCATACGGCTCAATACTCACAAACAAAACACACATGTTACAGGTCACGGGATCAAGTCCCACAAGGCTCAAAACAAGCAAACATCAAACAAACAGGCAACACAACAGACAAAGGTTGTGGGATTAAGTCCCGACAACAATGACAGGGACAAAACTAGTATATAGCCCGCTTGTAGCACTGCAATTCATTGCATTCCTACCCTCTCGAGGAGCGAGGACACCGAGCTAGGAGTATCCACGAGGAGACCACCTAGGCAATTTCCCACTTTGTTCAGCCTCGTAGAACCGCACGACTGAATTTGCAGATTTGAGAAGTTCCTTTCTTGTAAACGAACGGTCCTCAGTATGAGGTTGGAAGAGGAACTTGACAAGATATTCACAATCGGGGCCAGTGCCCCGTTGATCCTCAATGCTCTCGACTTCATATCCCTTTTCAGGGATAGGAGGTCCAAACTGCGGTGGCCGATCAGGAAACGCGTCAGCAGGAGTGTAAGGCAACAATTTTGAGGCATGGAAGACAGGATAGGTCCTGATGTGTAGGGGTACAACAAGTACATAGGAAGGCCCAAATGGGTCTCCTCCCACAATTATCATGTACTTGCCATGGGCCATAGTACACATGCAACAACTTTCGTGATATGTCTTGTTCATCAGTTAACTCTTCTTTTCACCCAGACCCAGTGACCAGGCCGAATAGGAGAGAGAGAACGATGCATATTAGCCTGCTCTATCATCCTTTTTTCAGCCTTGAACATGTTCGTTATGGCTTTCTCTAGGTCTTTCTCATAACTCTTGGTGAACTCTGCAGTCCCAGGAGTTAGTTTAGGCTTAGTCTTGTCAATGAGATCGTTAAGAGGCCGTCTTAGGTCCCTGGCAAAGTGAAGCCTATAGGGTGTAAAGCCTGTAGTACAGCGAACAACAATATTATACATAAGTTGAGCCCTTGACAGATGCTTGTCCCAGTCCTGTTGATCAGGTGTTATCACAGGACGCAACAGCTGAAACAAGACTTGGTTCCTAACTTCGGCCTGTCCATTGGCTTTAGGATGTTTGCCAGAAGTTATGTCTAGCCTTAAATGGAGGTAGTCTTTACAGAAAGACTTTCATTCATCACTGCAAAAACTGGACACCCATGGACATTAACCCACCTCTCAACAAACAACTCTCTTACCAGAGGAACTCTGGCCTCAGCAGGTAAGAGAATAAACTCAACAAACTTAGAAAAACGATCAACACATACCATTACTTGTCTCATGCCACGAGGGGTGGTTTTGCCCAAATGAGTAAAGTGAATGGACACTGACTCACCTGGACCATCTGGAATAGGCAATGGTTTGGGCACCCATGGACATTAACCCACCTCTCAACAAACAACTCT